ATATAAATGTTCGGCAACTCCTGTGGGGCATCGCTCACGAGCAATCTGAGCAGCTCGGGTGGACCATTTCTGGATGGGCTGGATCCAAGCCTCACGCGAAGCCGCGGGGCCGAGGATGAGGCCGAGATACTCCGCCATCTCAACGATATTAAAATCAGCCCACTCAGGAATGTTATTACACAGCCAGGATGTATACAGCTGGGCACGGAATTCGTCGAAGGGTCCTGAGAGCGGAACTATATAGCATTTACTACTCTTGAGCTTCAGATGAGCGAGTTCGCGACTGTGATCAAACACCTGCTTTAGCTGCTTCAGCTGCTGGATCTCGGCTACTACTGCTCCCACGTCGTCTGCGCAAGCTTTCGCTGCCGAAATCTGTCGCCTCCTTCTCTCGTGTGACTCATCTTGGTTGAGCAGCTCTCGGAATTCTGCCATGAAGGGATGACTACATATAGCATAGATTGCCCCCGATGCTGGGCAACCTTGCAAGATCCCGCTGAGGACCCCGAAGAGGAAAAGAGTGGTCTGCTGATGCACTCCGAAGCACAGCACGTTCTGGTGTATGTATTTCATGAACACGAGCATCGGCGGCGGCAATCGAATGTACTCCAGTACTCGGAAGATCCATACATGCGCCACCGACGGGAAGGCCTGACCGAAATCGAAGGTACATAACGCTGGCAGGGATAAGGCTGCGGACGGTTGCATGCTCACCATTCGTGCTCGTGCATCTAAGTCTATGATGTTCACCCCGAAGTTGCGACCCTGGAAAAAACCCCTCTGCTCGCAGTCAATGAACTCCCCGAGACGACGAGCGAGATGCCGAACGACGACGCCCGTCAGGATCTTGTTGCTAGTTTGTTTGGGTCCTAAAGGTCGTGTTCCCCCAGCTCCACGAACCACCTCCTCCTCGTCTCCTTCTTTGGACCCCTTGGCTAAAAACGCCCCACGTATAACATTGAATTCAGGAAGTAAGCTCCCTCCACCCAGGATCCACCACAGAGCACCATCCCAGACCAAGGCTCCCAAAGGATTGAACCTCCAAGCTCGATAAGAGAGCCCATCGGGCCCAGGAGCGCTATCGTGTACACGTTCCAGCTGCCGAGCGATGTTCGCTTGTGTGGGGGGTGGAAGATCCTGCAAGTTAACCTTCGGGCCGTACTTCTCGAGATACTGATCTATGGCATTGAGGTCAGACTTTTTCCTCTCGCCGAAGACTGCGCCCCAGTGCTGCCCGACCAGCTGCAGGACTTCGACAGGCTCGCGCACGACCGCCCCACCGTCCACACATATGCCTTTGAGCAACATCCGCCGCCCAAACGGCGCCCGCAGTCGGCCGCGGATCACCTGACCTTTGAGACGACGACGAAGTTTGGCTCTTGTGCTTTCACTTTCTGTGCTTTGAATGCTGTTTCTTGTCTTGGCTTGCTCATGTTGGTCCATGGCTCGATGAATCTGGTCAGTGATCTCGGCGAATTCGCTTGCATTCGTGAGCGTGACGGTCCGCTCCAGTACGTCGATGCTGAGGAACCGCCTGCCTAAACTACTGCTCGCTCTGATCGTCTCTCCTAATCTGAGGTCTTGTCTCCAAACAGCTCTGGCAATCTATTTCACAGTAATGAACCTCGAGAAGAGACTATCTGGCGAGGATCTCAGCATAGTGTTCCTGGCTATCTTCGCGGCCTCCTGCATCATTCTCGTGGCGAAATCGAGGGCGAGGGGCGGGGTGGGCGAGTCGACGTCACAAATCTCTGAAATCTCCTGGAGAACCTCGGAGTATTTCGGGTGAAGGAAAACCTCGGAAGGGATACTGGAATACCTCCGATCTGAACTCGCAGGACGGCCGTAAGACAGCGATACTTGCACGGGAGCGTGGTCACTAACTCCCCGTCTGAAGAGAGCCTCGGGAAGGTCAAGCACCTCGCCTGACACGCAGAGCTGGTTCAAGATCCAGCCCGTGAAACTCACAAACTGCCTATCTATCGAGGTGAGTAGCCGATGCTGCGCGTTGTAGTGAGCCGGGTCTGAAACCTGGAGTTCGGTCATCTTCCCGAGGGATTTCATGAAAATCGGGTCCTGGCCACGCCTGTATTCCTTCACAAAGTTCATCTTCGGGACCTGGGGTCGATTTTGTCCTGGGGTTCTCTGCGCATCCACTACGTCCTCTTGACAGGGTAGCTGGTCGGCGAAGTTAAAGTCGCCAGCGACAGCGACGAGCATGGTTCCTGGCGAAACCGTGGCTTGTGAAAGATCATCTAGGATACTGTCTGCAATCTGTTGTCTAGCTTCTCGTGTTAGCTTGAAGCTGTGAATGTTGTAATGGCTAATCCAGACGTCCCTGCTGAAAACAATCCTGAGATTGAGTGCCCTGCCAGGAACCAAAACTCTGGGCTCAACCACTGGAGCCTTCGGGCCAAGGAACGCGAAGTTCGGGGAGAACGTCGCCACTCCTCCAGCCTGGGAAGACGGGCAAAAACTCGGTGCTGCCAGCACCTCCTTATGGTAGTGATATAAGACCTCTTGGATCTCCATCTCTGACCCGTGACTCTCCTGCACAGCCAGGATTGACCCAGGGACCAGAAGCCTCCTTAGAGTACGAAGTTTCTTATCTCGCATGTTGGGGTCAAAGTGAAATAGGGCTCTTGAGTTCCAGGTCGTCAGAGATAGCTTCCAATTCTTCATCTGTCGGCCCTTCCAGGCCGAGAAAAGACGCTGGCTAAAGACACCGCTCAGTTGCCACTGTCTCGTTGGCGAAGACGCGGTCGAGCGCGAGGCGCAAATTGTTGATGTCCACCCCGAGCGCCTGCAGGTTCGCGGCGGCGAAGTGCACGACTGGTGGGTCATCTCCTGGGCGAGCCTCCACTTTGAGTATCGGCTTCCACATATGGCTAAGTTCTCCTTTGTTTTTGTCTCCGAAGATCTTGATGTTGGGATAGAGCCGTGTGAACGTGAGCCTGGCTTTTTTGAGTGCCAATTCCCTGCGCACCATGCAGCTGTTCTTGTCACCCGAGATGAAGAGCTCGGAGTGTTGTCCGTCCACGTCGAGAGCTGCAAACCTTTCGTACTGCCCATCTGTCCGCTTGAGGCTCGACATACATTGTGCCACCTTGCGTTCAGCGTAGCTGCGGCTGCCTCCAATTCTGATCGAGAACTTCTTACTGGCGGGGTCCCCCTCGATAACAAAGTCAGATTCCGCGAGATTGTTCCGCTCGAGCCAGGGCTTGAGCGCGTTGAGCATATTCTGCTTCGGAATGACGTTGCGTGATCGGATGGCCAAAATGGACGGGTCGATCTCGCGGTTGAACGACTGGTCGATCGGTTTCGGTGTGGGTCTCTCTGATTGAATATCACCGAGGAGGGTTTGGAGCCTTGAGATTTGCATCTTGAGGCTGTTGATCTCTGATGTGTGCTGGTTGACCGTCCCTTCGACTGTGGCAATCCGCACCTCCACCTGCTTTTGAATAGCCTCGAAGGACGAGGTGACCTGGTTGGACAAGTTGGCGAGTCCATTGTTGATCGTGGCGACTTGAGCTTGCAGGCTTCGGACTGCGGTGTCCATCGCTCTCTTGGTTTACTCCATGTGTTCTCGCAATGCATCAATATCTCCGCCAGTACGAGCAGCCACACGCCGACCAGAAGAAACCATCTCCTGCGACGGGAAGGTCGGAGCTGCGTCCAACTGCGCTGCCAAGTCCTCATGCTTCCCGCCCATTGCAAAATGCTTGAGCTGAGAATATTGCTTCGGATGCCTCAAAGTCAAAGACCGAGGTCGGCCTGGGCAGGCACCTACTCGACCTCTTCGGGCCCCTCCTGGCGGGGCGTCTTGAGGCGGGGGGTACCAAGTTCCCAAACGGCGACGACTTGAGCCAAAATGGCTACGGACCTCCTCCTCCTCCTCCTCCTCCTCCTCTTCCTCCTCTTCCTCCTCCTCCTCCTCCTCCTCCTCTTCCTCCTCCGCCTCCTCTAGAGGCCTCCTAGATGGGGTCCGAGTAGATGGGGTCGGAGGATAAAGCCGCATCGCCGATACATCGCCGATGCATCGGCGAGGCGATGGCGGCATCGGCGATGCATCGGCGATGTCGGCGTGGAGAAAATCGGGCCCCACATCGAGCCGCATCGCCGCTGCACCGCCGCTGCATCGCCGATGCGGTGCGATCCTCCGACCCCATCTGCTCCGACCCCATCTAGGAGGCCTAGATCCTCCTCCTCCTCCTTTTCCCTCTCCTCCTCCTCCTCCTCCTCCTTCTCCTCCTCCTCGTCCTCCTCGTCCTCCTCCTCCTCGTCGTCGTCCTCCTCCTCCTCCTCCTCCTCCTCCTCCTCCTCTTCCTCCTCCTCCTCCTCCTCCTCCTCCTCGTCCTCTTCTTCCTCCTCCTGCCCGAGCTTCGTGCGCTCTTTTGTCGCGAGATGGTCCAGGGTGCTCCTCGGTGGTCCTCGCCGAGAGCAGAGAGTGCACGCGCCCGAGCGATGCCAAGAGGACCACGCCCCCCCCCCCTCGCGTGCGCGTCTGCCGGCCGCCTCCCTCCTGCCCGCCGGTGGGGCTCCCCCTCCCTCCCTCCGGGCCTCCCGCGTCCCCTCTCCTCTCGCGGCTCGCTTCCCCCTCCCCTGCTTCTCCTTCCGCCCTCCTGCCTCCTGCCCCCCCCCTCTCTCCCTCCCGCCCTCTCTCCCTCGTGCCTCCTGCCTCTCCCCGCCCCCGCTCCCTCACCCCCGAAGGTAATCTCAAGTCGGGCGTGTCCCCCTACAGGGGGATTGTCGACGAAAAATGGGAAATACTAAAAACATGCTCCCAAAATGTAAAAAAATACCCCAACGATAGTCACCCGACAATATTTTCTATTTTTGAATATTCCACCTTTCGAGGGACAGGCCCGACTCAAAGGTAATCCAGAGGCCCATCCAGTTATTGAGTCCCAGAGGGGTCATCCAGGGGGAGTGGGACTCACACGGGGAGAACGAGGCACGTGAGGCGTCCGCTTCTGTTGCATCTGGGCACAAAGCGGCACGAGGTCCTCCATGGAGTTGTTTTCCGCCGGCAAGATGACGGGCGCAGTGTAATCCGGGATCTGACCTGCGGGCGGACCCCGACACCCGACGTCATGACTTGCCATGACGTGGACCCCCAGCTGTTTCGGCCCATTCCCCAGGAGCGGTTCTTCATCCCGAGTCGTTCATTGACGGTCCCGACTTTTTTAAATTACCCGAGAGGGTCTGGGGAGGGAAGGCTGGGACAAGGGCGCGGACATGCCGAACAGCCTGGGATGGGCAGCCGCTGGGGCTGCACTGTAGCCCCGGGGGCGGGCGCGAGGATTGCGGGAGCCAGGCCGCGCCGTCGACCTCGCCGTCGTCGTCGACCTCCTCCTCGTCGAGCTCGTCCTCCTCGTCGTCGTCGTCGTCGAACACGTCCTGGCCCCGCCCTCGCCCTCGTCCTCGCCCTCGCCCTCGCCGTCGTCGTCCCCGCCGCCACCGCCGCCGCCGCCGTCGTCGACGTCGCCGTCGCCGTCGCCGTCGTCGTCGTCGTCGTCGTCGGGTCCTCGTCGTCGTTTTCGTCCTCGTTGCCCTCGCCGCCCTCGCCGTCGTCGCAGGCGGGGATGCCGAGCTCGTCCTCCTCCCGAGGATGCCTGCGCGGCCTCGCGGCTGCCCCCCCCGGGGGGGGGCCCGCGGGCGCCCGAGAAGGGGGGGCTCGGGGACCCCGCCGGGCGCGGCCGCAGCAGCAGAGAGAAGCCGCGGTGCCCGTGGGGTGGGAGGAGGGCTGGAGCATCCCGCGGCCCTTGCCCCCCGCCCTCCCCCACCACCAGGGGCCCTGGGACACACAAAAAAATGCACACAAATAAGAGGATCCCCAATATCTTCGTATATATTTTCCCTCCCTCCCCGCCCCGTCTGGAGGGGTCCTGGGACACACAAAGAAATACACACAAATAAGAGGATTCCCAATCTCTTCGTATGTACTTTCTTGGCTTCTGTCTCCCCCCCCACTTCCCATTTTTTCCCAATATCTTCTGGGCAATCGAAGATTCGTTGTGTCTGTGTGTTTCGTTCCCTCCCCGCCCCGTCCTCCACCACCGCCCTCCCCCCTTCCAGCTTGCGCGGCGGCCCCAGTGGGAGGTCGCAGAAGTCGGGCGGCCCCCACGGGCACGCCCCGCTCACGGCTCCCCCCTTCCTCTGCACATGCTTCCCTCGCGGAGGACAGGGCCCGACGAAGGGGTGCTGACTTGCGAGGGTAGATAAGTACATTCCTGTGCGCACATAAACTCTACTAGAACCGCGCGCGCTCTTCGTGCGCGTTCATGTTCTAGCCGCGCCCAAGGAACTCGCATCGCAAGTCGCCAATCAGGAATGAAGGGGCGATTCTGGAACTCCTTCGGGGTTGGAAGTGGGACTTGCGGCAATGTAATTTGGGGACCCCTGCGAAGTGTAGGGGGGTCTTGCGGGCTTCAACGCGTCTTGCGCTTCTCTGGATCCGCCTTGGGACAGGAGGAGGAGGAGGAGGAGGTGAACAAAGAAGAGGGGTGCCCGAGTCTAGCTCCGAAGTACAGACCACCAGGGCCGAACCACGGTGCACCGAAGGCCGCCCTGCTCCTCGTTGCCAAGCAGATGGGGCCGAATCCTGGTGCAACAAAGGCCTGAAAACCCTTCTGGATCGCACCAGCAGGGCTTCAAGTTCGATGATTTTGGCTTCCCGGGTGCATTATTGAAGAGCTTCTGGGCCACCTCCAGCCGTCTTTGGGCCGTCTTGGAACCTCTTGGAGGCTCGCTAAAAGCGCGATCTTCGGGGTGTTGTGGGCCAGTTTGGACCCGTCTTGGGGGCCTCCTGGGCCATCTTGGAAGTTCCTTGGGCCGGTTTGGGGGCCTCTTGGGCTGCCTTGGGGCCACCTTGGGGGCCTCGTGGGGCCGTACTGGGGATGTCTTGGGCCCATCTTGGGCATTCTTGGGGCAATCTTGGATCTCTTGGCCACCTTGCGCCCCTCCGGGGGCCCTTGTGCGCGGTCTGGTGTCAATCTGGAGGCCCTCTTGGGGGCTGCGAACTGCACGTTCGGGGGCTTCTGGGAGGCCCAGCAGGGTGGCGTTATACACATACCAGAATGAGCCTCGCCCTCCCTGGGAGCCGCGAGCTGCGAAACTGTCGCCACTCTCGGGGGCTCCTGGGAGGCTCAGCGGAGCGGTGGCATACGCAAATCAGAATGGGGCCTCGCCGTCCCTGGGCATTGCGAACTGCGAAACTGTCGCCACATTCGGGTCGTCCTGGTAGGAGGGTGTCATACGCAGGCTAGAATGAGGGCTCGCGATCCCTGGGGGCCGAGGACTGTGAAACTGACGCCTCTTTCGGGAGCTCCTGGGAGGCCCAACGCAGTGGCGTCAGACGCAAACCAGAAGGAGGCCTCGCCGTCCCTGTGGGCCGCGAACTGCGGAACTGTCGGCACTTTCGTGGGTTCCTGCGGGGCCCAGCGGACTTGTGTCATACGCAGACCAGAGTGAGGCCTCGCTGTCCCTGAGGGTTGCGTCCTGGGAGGACCCAGCGGGGTTGTGTCCAACGTCCCTGGGGGCTGAGAGCTGCGACACTGCCACCACTTTCGTCGGCTCCTGGGAGGCCCAAAGGAGTGGTGTCATACGCAGACCAAGCAGCATGAGGCCTCGCCGTCCCTGGGGGCTGCGAACTGCGAAGCTGTCGCCACTTTCGTGAGCTTCTGTGAGGCCCAGCTGAGTGGTGTCATACGCAACCCAGACTGAAGCCTCGCCGTCCCTGTGGGCCGCGAACTGCGAAACTGTCGCCACGTTCGTGGTGTTCCTCATTGCCTCCTCCTCCTCAACTTCCTTCCGCTGTTGCTGCGACGGCAACCGCTGCGCAGCACTGTATAAGGTAGCTGTCCACCAGTGCACTTCGCATCAGCGTCATCCGGCATGACTGTTCATGCCTGTTATATGTGCATATCGATACCAACAACAGCATCAATGTTAATAATAAACACATACGGGTGATGATACTAATAATGGTATGATCGATACAACGAGTATTAATGATGCCACTAATAGTCATACTACTCATACTAATACGAATGACCATGAACATGCTAATCCTATGATTGTGGTAAATGATCATCTTCAGAATCGTGTTTCGTCGTCGCTACGATAAGTGCTATTATTACTAATGTTAGCACGCTCATTTGTATGATGAGCCACCGTGCCCCTTGGCACGTCGAGGCGTGGTATAATGCCAAGTGCTATCTGGCAAACTTTCTACAATCTTGTAAGGGACCCCCCACCTCCTGTCCGCACCTCGTTGCGCGCACTGGCAACACTCCCGCGGGGGCCCTGGGCGGCCAAGACGCCCAAGATGGTCTCAAGATGGCGCAGGAGGCTTCCAAGGCGCCCCAAGAGGCCTCCAAGAGGCCCCCTCTAAAAAATGGTTTCCCTGCGTTTTTAACACATGTTTGCGTTCTCGCCTGTTCGGCCAACCCGATGCGCCCCCTCCACCATACCTGTCAAACAAACAATCCAAACACACACTTTGGAGCAAAGTCTTGGGTCACGTTCGTGAGGCTACGCGGATCAGAACGAGACATCGCCCTCTCTGGGGGCTGCGAATTGCGAACCTGTCGACACGTTTGTGGACCCCGGGGGGGGGCCAGCGGCGTGACGCCCTACATCGATCAGAATGAAGCCTGGCCGCCCAAAGGGGCTTCGAATTGCGAAATTGTTGCCGTTTACATGAGTTCCTGGGACAGGTCAGAATGAGTCCTCGCCGTCGTTGCGGGCAGCGAACTGTGAAGCTGTCGCCACTTTCGTGGGTTCGTGGGAGGAGTGGTGCCATACGCAGGCCAGAATAGAGCCTCGCCGTCCATAGGGGGCTGCGAATTCCGAAACTGTCGCCACGTTCGTGGGCTCCGGGGGGGCCCAACGGAATGGTGTCATACGCGGACCAGAATGAGGCCTCGCCGTCCCCGAGGGGTGCGGACTGCGAAACTGTCGCAATGTTCGTGGGCTCCTGGGAAGCCCAGCGAAGTGGTGTCATACGCAGACAAGAAACAGAAAGAAGCCTCCCCGTCCGTGGGGCCTGCGAACTGCGAAACTGTCGCCACTTTCGTGAGGGTGCAACTCCGACAGCAACCGTTGCGGGGCGCCGTCCGCGGCGACACCGACAGCGAGTTCTGTGCAAATTGAGCAGAAACTGCTATCGGTTTTCGTGGTTCTTCTTTCCGTAGTCCGGATTTCGCAATCCAAGGCGGCGGCTTGATTTTCTGAAGGCCAGATTTGATTTGCCTTGGAGGGTTCCAGGGGGGTCTGGGCAAAAAACCGCCATTTCATGGCCTGCCTGGAGGAGTCTAAAACTGCTCGTCTGGGAAGGCTGTGACCCCCCTCCCTGTTATGAAAACATCTGGAGTACCTGTAAGAAGGAACGCTAAAAAGGGAACGGTGCCCCCCTTTGGCACCAGAGGAGCTGTTACACGAGGAGGGCTACCAATCAACCCGTATGAGAAGGATGCGCGATGAGGATGCAAGGGCCCTGGACGCCCATCTTGAAGCCTTTCGAGCGGGGCGCGGCCAACGAGAGTGGCCAAGCATGCACCGAGGAGGCAAGGCACCAAGCATGCACCAAGAAGCAGGATGAAGAGGAACGGGATGACGAGCACCTCTG